ATTTCCAATGTTGCGGGTGCAACAATCAGATCCTGAACCATTGGCTGAATCGTCTAGGCATGCAATCCAAACATGAAAATCTCAATCAGTTGTGAGACAAAAGTCACAAAACTGTACTGAATCTGTGTGAACTTTAGTAGACCACATTTGAAGTTCTGTGCTTTTCTCCCTTTATTGGCTTAAATCATATAAACTTGGAGAAGTTTCTGGTATTCACAAACTCTGGGTTGTCATAGCTTCTGACTTGAGAAAAGAAAGAAGAAGAACGAAAAGTCCTGGTTCCATCTTCATTCACAAGGAAGAACTTTGTTGTTTTCATTACAATTCAAATTTGTGCGTTTTCTTATTTAGGCATACTCCTGTCCTCCTATCTCTAGTTTATAACCTTTACATCTTTTAATTGATGGAGTAAGTTTTCCTCCTCTACCATATGAAAATAAGAATTGTACTATTATATTATATTTCATTATTTTGATGAGTAATTCTTGAGTCTGGATTTGGTTCATTGAGCAATTGTATATCACAATTGAAGATAGAGTGACAAAGGACTGTACTGAAAAATTTAGTATGTTTTGCTGTCGCTTCATATAAATTTCACTACTTTACCTGATATTATATGCAGTTATATATGTGTGTCACCTTACCCCTTCATTGTTATGAATTTTTTTATCTTCAAGTTATAAACTTTAGCCTTTACATCCTTATCCCAGAATGGAAGGCATGAACAGTTTCTTTCTAACAAGATTATTGTATATTATGTTAAAGGGGCTGAATTCAGTTAATTGTACGTACTTCGCCTTCCCCCAGTCATTGTTACTTTCCAACATAATAATGTTTTGATGATAGAGTAAAAACACTGCAATGTGCTTGAATATGCTCTATTATCTATATTGCTATTGATGTATCTCTTTCTATGTGTACCACTTTTGACTCCTCAAAATTTTACTACTTGCTTGAAGAATTCCACAGTATATATTTTTGTGCATTTGTTAAATGCCTTTCAAATCAACACCACTGCTTTTTCAGAACTTGTGAATACCTTAGAAATAAGTGGTTGCCTCATGGTTGTCATTGTATAGATTTTCTGTCAGATGTAGATCTTTAATGCGAAATTCTTTGCAAGCCAAAAACATCTTTAAATTTCAATTTAATATAAAAGTTGTCAGTGTTTTTGTAAATTTGGAATTGTGAGAAATTCCACCTCAGTAAGAGATATACCGATACTTTGGTTAGAATGTGGCTAAACACCATGAATGACTTGATGTATTTTATTTTCTTCTTTTGATAAATCATGGGGTTTGCTCCTGTTATCTGCTTGAAACACAGTAATGCTGGTAAATTGTGCTTAATTTCTTGTTTATAAAACTATTTGAATATTTAACCCTTGGCTTCTTTTTCAGGGAGGATGGACAGATTTTATGGGTGTATTCCTAATTAATTTTCTGTTTACTTTATCTCCGAGGAGGAGTTTTATGGCATTTTAAACTTATTGCTGTTAAGTATATTGATTTATATAAAGGTATCATCCAAATGGGAATCAGGACCAGACAGAACACTGTGTAGCACAAATTCAATTTGGTGCACTGAGCAGCCTACCCACTCACATTTCATTGACTTATTATGTGCACTTCATGGGGCAATAATTGCCCTCTGACCATAATTTTTGGGGTCTGAAATGCATATCTCAGTGTTGCTTTTGTATGTAAGATTCTTTTCATGTGTAATTATTTTTTTATACTTATGGTACCATCTGGTCAATCAGCACTGAATGAATTGCTTGAAGTTCGGTGGTTTTGACAGAAAATGGACCTTTTTGTTGTGTCAGACTTTCCAACAGCTTTTGCTATGTTCACTGGCGAAGCAACATTAGAGTTATCACTGTTTTTAAGTGAGGCATAGATATTCTATTTAAGGTAAGTGAAGTACTTAGGCTTTTTTTATTTTTTGAGATTCTGTGATTTTTACAAATCATTGAAAAGTAGATTCAATGATATTGTGAATATTTGAGTACTCTTAGAGGAATGTGTACTCTGTGTTCATAACTCAGTTGTTCTCTTTATTTTACAAGTATTGAATAGTTATAGAAAATTGTCGGAAGTTTGAATGACTTAAATGTGTCTTCAAAACTCAACCCCTATCACCACAACTAATTGGAGTGATGACCCCTTCTTGTGAATATTCTCAAGCAAAGGTCCTTAGCATCCTAAGAAAAGTGGAAGCTTCCATTTATATTGTGGTGATTTTAGTCTTCTGAGACTGACTAGTGTTTTGAGTGGTTTCTGAAACAGAGGAAACCATTCTGAACCAATGCATTCTGTAATTATGAAAGTACACATGCTGTCGACAACTTTCCAACCAGTGTATTGTACAGTGATTAAACAGTTACCTGAATTGTTTGAACAACAGAATGCCTGTTCTAACTTTCTGACATAGAGATAGAAGAATCTCTTAAAGAGCAAAAGTTCTCTCCTATTTGAGTTCACTTTCTTGATAGATCCTTCTTTTTGCTGACGTTGGATGTATATGAAGGTGGATGAAGATGTAGAAATTCATTTACTTTGATATTTTATGGTTGAAATGAAAGGTACAGAAACTCATGGATATTATATGATTAGCCAGAGCATTAAACTGGAAATCCTCACTTTGTACTTTGTAGAGAAAAAAAGGAACAAATGAAGTGATTTTAGTGTGAGATCTGTGCCAGCCTGCTATGTTGTGTGAGTCTTCTAAATTAAGAGAAGAACAAGAAAACCAAAACAATAAATAAATAAATAAAGTAACAAAGGATACAATTAACCATCTTTGTTTCTGATTAGTTGGATGAATGCCAGTAAATTTGTTTGTTGAATTTGTTCAATTTAGTTTGTCATTCTGTTATTTTTCATTTTCAATTTCAGGTTTTGTCACGATACACTACTACTCTAGTAGTAACCTTTATCAATTTCTATTTGCGGCTACTACTAGACACACACACACACACATGTATATTCATGTTCTGAGAATTTCCTACCTGCCCATTTCAGTGAAGTTGATGACTTTGCAAATATATTTATGGCCAACAATATTGTCCATACCCTTGTTTTCTGAGATCATGTTTTTGTTTATGTTATTCACAATAAGCATATCTTCTGTACTTACACACACACACACACACATCAACATTATAATGAATTAATATTATGATGAATTTCTAGGTTCAGACAATTGTTGATGTAAAATTGTAATCTCTACTGGAGCTGAATTATTGTGTAACTGAGTTTAAAAATTATTAAATGGAACGTAACTGAAGGGATTGCTTTAATGTCATTTTATATTCTGCATGATCATTTTAGAAGCTAAGATGAATGCTCTGTAGGTCTGAGCCCCTTCACTCACATTGCAGTTGCCAGCTCTTTCCCATTTAGCTATTGCCAAAATTTGGTACAAATTAGTGCTGACCTAGATTAGCCAATAAGTGAAACTATCATCATCTCATCATCTAATATACCCAGTTGTTTTAGCAGTTCATGGCAGCAACATATGATATTAATATGGCAAGGTGACAGAGGCAACAAGTTGAACATTGCAACTACAGGTTAACTGTCCTTTTGGTTCCCCTTTCTCCTTTTTCTTTCTTTATGTTTTCTATTTGATCTGAATCTATATTGATGTTTTACATGCTAGTGCCGCTTTGTTCTGAGTATTTTGTTTCTTTCATTGGAGATATAATATTTTTTTGATAACACATCAGAGATATGATATTGGATCTTGTTTTTGAAACTGGATTCATGAAATAGATTATTCAGCCATATTTTACAAAAATTAGTATTTACATCCTCTGTAGGGCTGGTTTTTCTCCAGTCCCCTTACACCTATGATTTACAGTTTGTATTAAAATATTTTACCCTTTCTCTTAACGCCCTTTCAGTCTTCCTGGGACACATAATTTATATGAGAAGGCTCGTGAATATAAAAGTAGCTCATAACCTTTTTGGTTAAGGTAAATTCCCACATGACTTTAGGGCCTCTTCTTTTGTAATATAGCACGTGGCAACTGTTATGAGAAGGGTATTGCCTTTTGAAATATTCTTTGTCCAGGAGCAAGTATTGCCAGAGGGTCATAAGCAGATTTTCTCTGCACAAAAGCTTCCCAGCGTGGGCCAAAGTGGGCCTGCCATTCTTTCTTTGTAGTGTAATGGGGTAGATATTGCTTGACCCCAAGATGGGCTGTTTCACAGAATTCTAGAATTCTTTTGTTCTGAGTTAAGATGTGTTCTAATCCGTCAGTTCCAGTTGAAGAGGGAACAGCAGATGTAAGGAATGCCACTAAGTAGAAAATATGTTCCTCCGGTATAACTACGGAAGTTCTGTTGTCCCACCTGAAATGAGAATTAATAGATCAATCGTTAAGACAAGCAATAGGGACTTTTGGAGATAATGACACATTTGTTTTAACTGTTACTTTGATCTGTTAACTGGATAGATGAGGATGGGGCCGTTGCTTGTTGCTGTAAGGATACTGCCAAAGACTTCGTCAGCAAAAGTGTGAATTTTGCTTTTTGGTATTAGAAGATTGAGCCATGGGTGTGGAACGTCCCACAAATCTTTTGATCGTAATTTGATCTCAGACACATGTACCCTGTCCAAGAAATCTATGTATGCAACTTCTGACATGAATAGCGTTGAACGGATATAGCTTAACTGAGACAACAAGTTCTCAACTTCCTACATGCCAGAAAGAAATGTATGAGTGCGATGTTAGTTATATAGTTACTCATATATACAAATTTAACAACTACTTTCTTGTCAATTTAGGCATTTTAAAGTACTAGGCTTCTGGTGGGCCATTGCAAGCCTCACCTCATTTATCAAGTCAGTCTTGTCCAGGTTGAAGTATTTCGCCAATTCTAGGCAGAAGAGGGTTCTTCCATCTGACTTGAACTGGCTGGCCTGAACTGGGTCCTTTGAATTGAAGGATGATCTCCAGTTGTTTAGCAGACCGGTCCGGTTTATTATCACAAATCCCTCAACGTAGTCAAATGTATTTTCTGCAGATATTAGATGCTCCTGATCTTGGGTAAATGCTGCAAAATCTGAATACAGGACTCTAATCCATTTTACCTGTTCAAAATGGAGAATTGGGTTAGCAACTGGCACTTTCTACTCCACCTGGAAGCTTAACTTTTGACACATTAGCCTCAATGATGTATAGTTTTTACCCTTGCAGGTGCTGCTTCCAACGATATTCTCGCCCGGGTTATGATGCCAAACTGACCAAGCCCTCCAAGAACACTATGAAATAGGTCTTCATTCTGCTCCTCTGAACAATTTATAACTTCCCCTTTTCCTGCACTCATGTTTGGTTCATCTATTAGTAAGAATTGATGCTTTGCACGCAATAAACTAATTACTTAGAAATTTTTCATGAGCTATAGCCAGAGGATCTTTCATGAGACCAAAGGTCAAAGTAATGACATGCTTAATGAGCAAGCCTGGCGACTCACAATTCAGTTTGAAATTAAAAATTCAGACAAGACAAAATACAAGTTAGAATACTATAATTTTCCCATGGCATTGCCACGTCTGATCATTGACGTTGGTCTTTTCTTCCGTGGTGTAATATATACAAATATATATATATATATCACCACGGAATAGTTTCGCCACCCCACCGCCCCTGCCCGCTCCCTCCCTCCCCTCTGTTTTAGTTTAACAAACCTGTGACAACTTCCAGCTGGTGGACATTGCTGATCTGGGGACCATGCCGGAATGCCTGCCCACTGATCCCAGCATTAGACAGAGTACCACCAATAGTTAGATGTAGGTAGTCTGTCCATGATTTTGGCGCTAACCCATATTTCAAGCTTTCATGCAGGATATTTATCCACAACTCACCACCAGAGACATCCACATATGGAGAACTTCCAGTGTAAACTTGGATTTCAGGGCCCTTGAGTGATTCCATATTGATGACAACTCCTCTGTGGGTTTGTGCCTGGCCCTGGAGTGAGTGGCCATGGCCTCTAGCTGCAACGGTGAGCTCTGAACGAGGACCCATATCCCAAATATGCTTAATTGTAGTGGCTATATCAGAAACTGTTTTTGGATGTAGTACTGCCATAGGGAGGAACTGATATCTGTTGCCAAAATCTCTGGCTGCATGGTGAACTTCATGAAAGTTGAAATGCCCATCGAGGGGAAGTGTATTGAATGAGGGAGTGTTTGGAGAACAAAGGTTCAATTTGATGGTTACACAGCTCACGAACAAGATCATGAAGCCTTTTATGATAAAAGTGTTCATTTGTTTAAGGAAGTAAACTGGTGGATACCTCATTTTTTCTGTTAGAAGAGATGAAGGTAGCTGAAGGTGAAGGAGTTTAATCTTTTAGTTGTTTCTTAGTAAGGAAAGGGTAAAAGGCAAAAGAAGAGGTGTAGAAGAGCCAAGAAAATAAATGGTTGAGGAGGGAATTTAAAGGGGAAAGGTTTGGGTGGCTGAGTCAACCCATCTTCATGTTATGAGAATCCGTATGAAGACTGCCTACTTGGGTGGAAGAGTTTTAGGATTTTCTTTTAGTTCTCTTTTTGGGGATCTTTTGTTTATAAGAGAAGGCATCACACATATGCCAAGTTGAATGGAAAAAGTCACAAGAAAGAAAGATTTCACAAATCTTTGCACTTTTTCTAACAGTTGCAACCACAATCTCACCTTTTCCATTCTTTAAATTTTTCTTACTTAATGTTAATGATTTCTTCCCAATTATGGTATAAAATTAATGCCTCTGCAGCTCTGCCCGAATTCATATTGCTCCTCATCTGATGACAGGTATCCGGTATGCCCATATTCGTGTCTTGCTCACACGAATGATCAGATATGGTGCTGTCCTTTGAATCCATTGTTATCATAGTGTTAACATCCCGTATCTACTTGCAGATCGGATGAGAGAGACTGAGGCCTGCCCTTGATTCATTTGAGAGGGAGAAAGAGATGGAGCTGGTAGGGTTGTGATAGGGTCCATGTGACATGTGAAGTTGAAATGGTTTGTGTGCTTTTGTGGGGTGAAGTGGTATGATTGGTTTACATTGGGACCCCTTTTGGCTCACTTTGATAGGAGAAGGAAGTAGGGCAAACTTGGGGATGGCAACTTGTAGGAAGCACTGAAAGACTAGCCCTTCTGCCCATCATCTGCTACTGCTGCTGCTATGAAGCCTTAGTTCCCAGCAAATGGACAAGTTTGAAAGATTCTCTTGTTTATATGTTTTTTTTCTCCTTTTTCAAGTGCAATTAAATTTGTCTAGTTATCACTTTTCTTCTGCAACTTGTGTTTTTAAGCACCAATTAAAAATTTGCATCTCTATGGGGAGCATCTCATCTCCCCCTTTCCCCTTTTCATGGGCATATTAGTCACTCTTTGCATTATGCCTTCTTCAAAGTGTGATATGCCCTCTACATAATTTGTTTTGGAATTGTCTCTAATTCCCTATACTAACAAAAACAGTGGTCTTTTAACCTTTAACCTGTCTCCAAAGATTACAGAAGATCTTCTGAATTATAGCTGGCATCATAATTTTGTTCTATAATAGGACAATAATAGTGATGGATGGCAAGAAACTAATAACAAATCGGGAAAATGGTATCTAATATCAACAAGCGAGACTAGATGATGTCGGATGTTCTGTGTCCTGGACCGGACATAGGTGATCATCCATGCTAAATCAGAAGATTTCCCTTCTTTGGCTTGGAAGATTCTGACACCACAACCAACCAAATTCTATTTAGCGTTTGGAATTTTCTTTATTCAAAGACTCTTGTGTGTCTGGCGCATTGCGTCAACTTCTACGACAGGAAATTTGAAATTTGAAATTTTTAGGCCCGTTTGATAACCATTTCAATTTTAGTTTTTTGTTTTTATTTTCTGTACTTGAGTATATAGAGTAAAAGAGGGAGAATTGAAGTGAGAATGAGAGTGGAGATGGGATTGAGAGGGATGAATAACGAAGTGAAAAAAAGGTTTAAAAACCAAAATATATTTGAAATTATTTTTACTTTAATAGATTTCAGTTTTTTTTTTTTTTTTTTTTTTTTTTTTTTTTTTTTTTTTTTTTTTTTGTTTTTTTTTTTTTCACTTTTGCTACTCATTCCTTCCATCCTCCCATCTCATCATCCCTCTCAATTTCATCCTCACACTCATTTTTCTTTACTCTAGCACAAAAAAATGAAAACTAAAACCTAAAAACTGCCCGTTTGAGAACCATTTCAATTTTAGTTTTTAGTTTTTAGTTTTTCATTTTCATTTTTTTGTGCTAGTGTATAGAGCAAAATGAGAGTAAGAATGAAAGTGAGGATGAGATTGAGAGAGAGTATTGGAGGGGAGGATGAGAGGGATAGGTAACAAAAGTGAAACAAAAACTTGAAATTGAAAACAATTTCAAATATATTTCAGTTTTTAGTTTTTGTTTTCACTTTTATTACTCCTCCCCTTTCATCTTCCCTCTCAATCTCATCTCCACTTTCATTATCACTTCTATTCTCCCTCTTTTTCCTCTATATTCTAACACAAAAATGAAAATTAAAAACTAAAATTGAAATGGTTATCAAATGGACCATAAAATTAAAATAATTATCAAACGGGCGGAAGAAACTTTTAACAACAGTTTCAAGTATGCTAAAAATATTTAAGGATAGATTAGATAAATATATCCTTTCGGTTGCTAGAAGTTTACAGGCAAAGAAGATACCAACAGAGAATCCGCTAAAGGGTATGCAGTGGACAAATGAAAACGACATAATTATGACCTCAAGGCCAACAACATGATTATTTTTAATAAAAAAAACCACATTTTTTGGATGGCATGGGTGGGTGACTTAGATTGGTCTGGTACAAGTGTCTTAATCTGCATACATAAATCTTTTGTTAGGATTATAAAATTAAAGATTGCTATAATTTGATATAGATATTGCTCATCACTATAGTTCCTCCAAGTGTGAACTCTAGTATTTAGTTTTTAGTCCTCTCTCATTTGTGGCACTTGTGGTGAAAAACCTAATCCTTTTTTATTGCATTCTTTCTGGAAGGAAACCGAACCCACCAATAAAAGAAATCAAGACTTGCATTAACTTGAGCATTTATGTTGTGGGAACTCCCCAAATACTTATGTCCTGAAAACGAGAGAAACTCTCATGCAATGAGGATAACATTTTTTGTTATTCTTGGTCAATAACACAATGACACGTAGGATAATTTTTTCATGTATCATTGTGTTATTGGCCGAGAATAATAAAACAGTGTTATCCCCATTATAAATAAGTTTTTTTTTCCTGAGAACCCATTGTGGGCCTTTCTTGTCCATATGATGCTCTTGGGTTTGCAGAGTACTTTAGCAGTGAAAAATATGTTGAATATAATCACCGCACATGTGTCATGGCTGAGATCGAAGAGCGGCTAAAGAGGGCCCCTTTGCAGTTTCCATGGTCAATTTGGTCATGTTCATGAAAGATCATCTATTAGATAATCGAGCAACATTGTTAGAGCCAAGACACTTTTAGATCACAACGAGAGAAACTCTCATGTAATGAGGATAACACTTTTTGTTATTCTCGGTCAATAACACAATGACACGTAGGATAATTTTTTCACGTATCATTGTGTTATTAACCGAGAATAATAAAACAGTGTTATCCCCATTATAAATAAGTTTTTTTCCTGAGAACCCATTGTGGGCCTTTCTTGTCCATCTGATGCTCTTGGGTTTGCAGAGTACTTTAGCAGTGAAAAATATGTTGAATATAATCACCGCACATGTGTCATGGCTGAGATCGAAGGGCGGCTAAAGAGGGCCCCTTTGCAGTTTCCATGGTCAATTTGGTCATGTTCATGAAAGATCATCTATTAGATAATCGAGCAACATTGTTAGAGCCAAGACACTTTTAGATCACATTAGTGAATCACACTATTAAATATGTAAATAAGAATTTTTAGGTGTAACTGATATACTGATATATGTGTTACGATTCACGTATCATAATGTACGTAAATTACATATGCTAACATATAAAACTCATGTTATGAGGTGATAAGTTGATTAATAGTATCACATAACACTATTATGATCATACGGAACATAATTGTTAGATGATTACACCACAAGTCTTATTATAAGCAAAATCTCGAGCATGAGATTGGCTAATCGGAAATTAGAATCCTCGAATCATAACTTGGCAAGTGGGTGACGTGTCCACTAGGCCCGAGGAGATAGGTGGGATTGCCACATAAGGTTTGTAGCCGTCCTCATCATCAAGCATGCCATTGAGGTTAAATAAATTATTGATGTGCTTAGAGGGCGAGTAAGACTGTAGGACACACAAAATTGGCGTTGGATGATTAAACCTATGAGATTATAAATTATTCTTATCATGTTCCCTAACCCACTTTTATTCCACTTTAATCAATGTCTTCCTGTCCCTTCAAATCCCTGCGGTAAATTAATCTAGGAAATAGAATCTCTTTGTTTTGCTTGTTTTGTCGCGACTATCAAACTTTTCCATGAGGGTAAAAGTGAATTTATAGATTTTATGCATCTCTCAATCTCTCATGCACACGTAAAAGGTAAAAGATGAGGGGAATAAAAAAGTGGAAGGAAGGTAGAAAATAAGTTGAAAGGTGATGTTTACTTTCAACTAAGATGTAGGTGAAAAAGTGAGTGTTGAAGGTGAAAACTTTTGAAAGTTTTAATTCTTGAAAAATAATCAAGAATTAATTCATATTAAACTAACAATAAGTTTCTTACGTGCAACTTCATCTTGTATATGTTAATAAATAAATGGGGGATGGGCGTTGGAGGTTTCAATCCCAAAAGCTCCTCAAATATGAGTTCTTATATTAGGTAATTAAGCAATCGCTAAACCTCATTAGAGAATGGATGGCCAAAGGCCAAAACTACAATATATGCTAGTTCTACATTTAAGTATAAGGATAATTAGATTGTCATCCTTGAATACGATATATTATACAAGAGATAGTCTAAATTATTCTAAAATTGGGTCTTAATTTTGATTCTTTGACTTTATATATTCATAGCTAGGTATATTATTACTAAGTTACAAACATATATATACCTTTCTAGACATGACGTTAGTTTTCATTTAAAAATTTAGCCAAAAGGCTAAAACATTATGATGTACGTTTAGCATCAAATAAGGTAAAAGATATCATTCTATGACAAAATAAGTTCATATCTCAACAATAGTTTCACAAAAAGGTAAATCCATATCTTCAAAAAATCTTCAATCATAATCCCAACTTTTATCATGCTCACCAAAAAAGAGTCCATAACAAAGTTGTAGGAATATAGCATTTGCATGCCTTTTGGCTAACTTTTTTTCTCAATAACCAAATTGAAATTTCGTCTAAAACTCAGTAACCAGAAAGGAGTATCTAACCCAACCACTTAACATAAACAAACCGCAAGTCTATAAATTGTAAATTCTGGATAATACAATGACCTATGGCTAAATTATTTTCTCAGTCATTAAATAAAAATTTCGTGTAAAATCCGATAAATAAATAAAAAAAATCATTTTAACCTTATTAAAAATGACAGGCATCATTGCGGATGATTTGAAACATTAAAAGTGGTCATATATTGCAAAGGAAAGCCACTGCTGGCTGACAGTAAAACGGGGAAACTGTCTGCGAACATTTCTTATTATGTAGTAGTGAGTTTTCCTTTATGTCATCTGTCTCATATTATTTAATGTAAAAACCTCTTAATTTATTATGAAAAAAAACAAATCCATTTTAGAAAGCACTTTTGTGGTGTTGCAGTGAAAGATACATACACTCTGTCGACCATGAACTGCATGCCTTGTGCGCATTATAATTTTGTCACTTGTGCAGATATCCAAAATCTTCATTGTGTCACCTGGAAAGGTTATCAGATGGCATTTTAAATTGTATTTCTTTGCTTTGTTACCACCTCTCCCTCCCCTTTCTAATGGAATCTGTTGCAAGCAATTAAGGAGTTGAAGCACATTCACTTTGAATAATTAGTTTTTAAGAAAAGAAAAAAAAAACATTTGAAAGCAAAACAAAAGGTTGCAGCTGTAATGCTTAAAGATAAAGGGGATTTTTTTTTGTTTTTTGTTTTTAATTTAATGTCTTTATTAATTATTTTACTTGGAAAAAGTCATCGATAGTAAATTATTTTTTAATTTATGATCATAAATCCAACTAGCTAGTGACAGATATTGAGTATAAAGTTTATATATATATTGAAAAAGAAAAATAGAAAGGGTAAATAGAGATTGATGAAAAAAAGAAGAGAGAGAGAGAGAGAGAGAGAGAAGTGGGTCATTGAGTACATACAACTTGAGTTCGGAAACTCTGTTTATATTTTTAACTTTTTATAGATAGGCTCATTCTAACATGATATTTTATAATATATAAAAAACCCTTCAAGTTAGTACTTTAGAAAATCTCCACGATATACTTTCAAGTGAAAAAATTGCAACACATTAAGAACCAATTAGAAAATAACATGGCTAGATTAGGGTTTTTTTTTTCCCAAATAAGAGCTTTCTAAGAATTTATATATAAAATATTATGCTAGAATGAGCCTATTTGTGAAAAGTCTCATATTTTCTATATCAGTATTATGTCCATATTAAATTAAGTTGTTTTAGGATTTTATTTAATGATTTTTATAATACAAACTCGAAACACCAAACCATTAGAGCAGCATGACAACAATTTGCCTCCTTCGTAGAGCGGGAGAGAAACTTTGGTGTCACGCATGCTCTTCTGCGTATATTTTTCTCATTCACAATATTTATGGGGTTAAAAGCGAGAAGCGAGAGGAAAGGGTGCATTGCATTCCCCGCGGTACCCCATTCTTTAATTAAAGTGTAATTTGACTTTTAACTTTAAATTTTAAATGCAATTAGCATTTAAATTTTTTTTATAAAAATAAATAAAATAAAAAGATCGATAAAAATTATTGTAAGTTGTAGCTCACTCATCTCCTTGTAGATGGAATCTTGGTTAACGATACGAAAAGAACTGAAAGGCATGCAAATATAATGAAATATCAAAAATTAGTTGCCAAACCCTAGATTTTTTTTTTTCTTTCACCATATTGCAAACTTTACATATTACAGTCACAAAAATATGTATATATTGCAGAACTCACGCACTTTGAAGGTGGTTTAGAGAAATAAAATTTGAAAAATAAACTTGGGTTAAAAACTCTATAAAATCATAGCACGCCTCCTCACTTGTGGCGTCTTTGGTACCTAATAACAAGCATGCTCTGATATCATATTAGAAAGTGAGCATCCAACTCAAAACTAATTGATAATCAGCGTAGAGGTCCAAAATCTTTTAAACTCTTCAGCAAAGATTTCATCCTATATATGATCGATGTGGGATATCCTCAACAATATAAAAGGCATTTACTAAGGAAACTAACACGCACGCATGTAATTTCCACCTCTCCAAGTGTTCTTGAAAGCGATATCCAACGAAAGGATGAAATTCACATGCAAACTTATAAAGAGTGCATATCCATCTAGTTGCCAAACCTTAAAAAGAAATGTTTTGACAACAAAAAAAAACCCTAATAGAAATGTTTTTTTTTTTCCTATAAAAAAAAAAGCAAAAAGAAAAGAAAAGGAAAAAAGGATCTGACCCCTAGTATAGCATATATAGAGTGATCCTTTTTCTAAAACCGTGTGCTAGCTCATGCTCATGATCACTACTTCTTATCTGATGCTACCTACGGCTACCATCAAATCAATTCATACGTTATGAATTCATTCATTATTGACAGAGATATAGATCTTCTCCTTTTCAGGAAAACTACTGCATGCATAATTGACAATTAATACTCAATCTAAAATATATATTTGCGTGCACGTGTGAAATTACTATATGAATTTTTAATTTTTACTATTAACTACCTGAACTTTGTATATAAAATATTGCAATTCACCACCTACGTCTAAGTCCGTTAAAATTTTCCGTTTCTATAACATGATGTGCTTGCATCCTTTGAAGAGTTTGTAAACTGAACCTAATTTTCTACTCTCTTTTTTTCTCTTTTACTATTCCTTGAAGTAGCTGCTCAGGCAACGTAGATGATAACCTTTATCCCATTGACTTCAACTCATGAAAGGCGTGTGATTTGAGCATTTGTGAAAAGAAATAAGGGAAGCCAGCCAGAGCCAAATTGATTTTTTTCCTTGACTTGAGCATCCTGAAACAGACTGGGGAAAAAGGTTGCCTAATTCAACAGCACTTATGCAGTTCAAACTTTGAACGTCCTTTTCTAAAAACTAATAATATAAGAAGTTTCCCACAAGTCTCGACTGGAAGACTAAAAGTTGCCTCAAACCTCTGGACAATTTCTAGCCTAAGAAATTCAGTGGTGGGTGGAGAGGGAGCCACATTGATGGTTTATTTAATTTAATTTAATTTAATTTTTTTTGTGCATAGAACATAAGCATATTATCATAATATTTTCATTAGTTTTATTTGAAGTTACTGCTGTTTGAATGAAGAAAATAAGAGTTACCTATTACTTATATATACGAAAAATAGAATAGAACCAGCAGACGTAAAAGCTAGACATGATAATTTTTTTTTAGTCAAGATAGCAATTAATTAAGGACTTGAAATAATATATTTGGATTTGAGTAGTTTTGTTGTAAATTGCTTCATTGGTATTAATAATGGACAAACAATATATATTTTGTATAGAAAATTTGTAGTTAAAGAATTGAAGGAAGTTGAGGTTCCACCTCAAAATCAATTGCCAATCCCAACATCTTATAAGTCCATATAGTTGGTATCAGAACCGGGTTTACCACACAATTGGGCCCAAATCCAAGGAAAGGCCGACCTATAGGCTAGATTAAGATGATTGGTGTTATGTATGGGCATAATATCAAGTCATTGAATACTGGTAGTTGAGTGAAGCCGCCTCAAAGGAAGGAAATGGCTACAACTGGGCCAATGTCAATAGAGTGGGCAAATGAGAACGTTTAGTACGGAAGCGTGGTGGAATGTTAGGACTTAAGATCCCACATTAAAAAAATAGCATATACTAGGGTGGTTTAAGAGCTTTTGGCTACCCTTTCCTTACAAGCTGATTTTTAGGAGCAAAAAGTTCTACCCATGGATTCTTACCAATTGGTATGCTACGGTCTCATACTATAAGGAAAGTTGAAATTTCACCCCGAAATCAATTGGTAATGTTGGGAAAATACTCTCAACAAGAACAACGTCTAGATTCGTGAATGAATTGTTTTTTTAATAGTATCTCCACTTTGAAACGTTCTCTTTGACCAAAATATCAAAATCTAGCTCTCCAACACGCAATTATTCGTTCGTTAATTAATAATTGAATTTGTCGGCCGCATTTCTCATATAGTTCTCATGAAATCCACGTGGTGCATGCTCAGCAGCAGCATGAGCTGCAACTGCAGCTTCAGCTGCAGCAGTGCTGGCAATAGCCACAGTCAGAGCATGCCTGCTCTGTTCTTCCTCTGCCTCATTTTGTGTCCTTTGTTTTAATGGTGATGGTGGTGATGGTGCAGTTAATGAGGCTAGTCTTTTGATCTTAAGCTTTCCAAAAATCCATTTCCTTCTCTTCTCCTTCTAAAAATAATTGATCAAATTAGGATAGGGACTTCAAAGTGAAATGAACAAAATAGCAGAAGAAGAAGAATGATTTGCTTACATTTTTTTGGTTTGACTGTGTCTCTTCTTCTCCTTCTAAAAATAATGGATCAAATTAGGATAGGGACTTCAAAGTGAAATGAACAAAATAGCAGAAGAAGAAGAATGATTTGCTTACATTTTTTTGCTTTGACTGTGTCTCTGAAACAAAGAACCTCTTCACTATATTGAACCAGCTCCTCTTTGCCATTGCAGAACCAAGAAATCACATCATGCTAAGGGCAACACATGAAGCTGGTTTTGCAAAACCAATTTGCCCAAAATAGTCAAGAAAACAATAGTAAATTAAGTTAATGAAATTTTACATCATTACTTAAAACAGCTATCAAAAATCTTAAATTCAATGCAGATATTTTGTAAGATCTAAACAACATCTTACCCATCTCCTGAAATCGATAAAACCCGAATTCACAGCATCAGCAACTTTCAGCTCTTGGGAATTTGGATGCTACTTTTATAAAGTTCAGGAAAGAAGATCACTTAGACTTCACTCAAGTTAATAATCTCATATAGAAAAGAACAGTTTATTGGGAAACTGAATCACAAACTCTAAGAAGGTTGTTAAGTTTCCAAATTTGATAACAATCCTGAGGGGGTATGTTTGTTGTTTGCCAATTCAGCTATTCACTTTTTTTTACCTCTTGTTCATGATGAGTTCTTCTGTTCATATGTGTGGGTGGGTCTAAGCATAGCAATTGTACTGGAAAAAGTTAGAGCTGCTTTGTGTTCAGGGAAGGAGCCTCAAAATGAATTATGAGAAATACTTTTGATGGGGCCTTCTCATCTTTCTGGAACCCCGTGTCCTTTGTTTTAATGGTGATGGTGGTGATGGTGCAGTTAATGAGGCTAGTCTTTTGAACTTAAGCTTTCCAAAAATCCATTTCCTTCTCTTCTCCTTCTAAAAATAATTGATCAAATTAGGATAGGGACTTCAAAGTGAAATGAACAAAATAGCAGAAGAAGAAGAAGAATGATTTGCTTACATTTTTTTGCTTTGACTGTGTTTCTGAAACAAAGAACCTCTTCACTATATTGAACCAGCTCCTCTTTGCCATTGCAGAACCGAGAAATCACATCATGCTAAGGGCAACATATGAAGCTGGTTTTGCAAAACCAATTTGCCCAAAATAGTCAAGAAAACAATAATAAATTAAGTTAATGAAATTTTACATCATTACTTGAAACAGCTATCAAAAATCTTAATTTCAATGCAGAGATTTTGTAAGATCTAAACAACATCTTACCCATCTCCTGAAATCGAGTGATTCATCTATCGATAAAACCCGAATTCACAGCATCAGCAACTTTCAGCTCTTGGGAATTTGGATGCAACTTTTATAAAGTGCTATCAAAAATCTTAAATTCAATGCAGATATTTTGTAAGATCTAAACAACATCTTACCCATCTCCTGAAATCGATAAAACCCGAATTCACAGCATCAGCAACTTTCAGCTCTTGGGAATTTGGATGCTACTTTTATAAAGTTCAGGAAAGAAGATCACTTAGACTTCACTCAAGTTAATAATCTCATATAGAAAAGAACAGTTTATTGGGAAACTGAATCACAAACTCTAAGAAGGTTGTTAAGTTTCCAAATTATTTTTTTTTTTGATGAAAACAGGGGGGTGAAAACCCCAAAAGACAAAAACTACAAAACAGAAATCAAGCGGGCTGTAGAAGCCCCTAACAATCCTGAGGGGGTATGTTTGTTGTTTGCCAATTCAGCTATTCACTTTTTTTTACCTCTTGTTCATGATGAGTTCTTCTGTTCATATGTGTGGGTGGGTCTAAGCATAGCAATTGTACTGGAAAAAGTTAGAGCTGCTTTGTGTTCAGGGAAGGAGCCTCAAAATGAATTATGAGAAATACTTTTGATGGGGCCTTCTCATCTTTCTGCAACCCCCAATCTTTCTTTAACTGCAGCAGACATGTTCAAATGTCTGATGGGAATCAAATTACTCAACTATCCCCTTCCTTCAGTTGAATAAGTAATAATACCATGCAACAGCAGCCCATCATGCATGATGAGGACATTGCTTGCTGATGTTGATTTACTCCAATAAGATTGCATAAGTTTTCTGCTGATGAATTCTCTATCCTTGGTTGGGTCTGTATTGTTCATCTATGGTTAAGATTCAATGGTGCTGAAATTATGCATGGTGTATTTTTAAGATTGCATAAGTTTTCTGCTGATGAATTCTCTATCCTTGATTGGATCTGTATTGTTCATCTATGGTTAAGATTCAATGGTGCTGAATTCATGCATGGTGTATTTTTTTTGAAGTGGTAAAAAATGACAGCTCATTTGCAGAACTGGAGACCTTGGATATTTATTTTTCATTGTTGACTGGAAACCTTGATCCATACTTTTTATGTTGGCATGAGTAAATCCTAGTCAGTGACACAGTGTTCTGTTGTGCTGTGACAATTAGTTCAACAATCTGGGACCTCTAGGTTAAAGAGATATTGTACCATAGGCAACTACTCTGATGTTGTACATTTGTGACTAGAGTTAAAGTCTTCAATAAAATAATGTATAGATATAGACTGTTTCCCATAATCCACACACCACTGTAGAGAGAGAGAGAGAGAGAGAGAGAGAGAGAGATTAATTATTGAGGGAAGTGGGGGAGTCACAATGTGCAAGAGAAGAGGGAATGTAGGGAAGAAGACAAAAGAAACAAAAGCAACCCTGGGGTTGTGAGAGGGAAGACAGCTGTTGAAGGGCCCAAAGAGAGGAATTGTCATATTTATATTCTCATCTCATGCATCTTTTACAAAAGAAGTCATAAAGATAAATGATTTTTCTTTCCCATCTAGAAAACCAATTAATATTCCTTTAAAAAAATAAATAAATAAAACAAATTAATATATCACTTACTATTTTTTTATTTGTTATGTGTAGTTTTTTTCTCAATAGTACATGAAAAATACGAATAAAATACATAAATAATATGTATATTATTGTGAAATATGTAAAAATACGTGTATTATTAGTGAAAATACACATATATATTTGCATAATAAATGAATAATATGTTTAGTTCTATATTTGATTCTTACACGAAAAACAAAAGTACAAATATATAATACATTTCTTGACCTCCTCCTCCTATGATCCTATCCACTTTTCGCAAGTCATAGGTTTTAATTACTTTGTATAACTGTGTCTTTCATTATGAGCTCCCTCTTTTCTTTTTCGGCTTAAAGTAAGATGGACAGACGAAAGTCACATAATCACACATGGATAATTTAATGTAGGAGATGAAGCAAGAAAAAAACCAGCTCTTTCATTTTAATTTTTTTATTTATTGAATTATGAGAACAGGATGATCAAAAATCTATACATGCGTTGATCCTTAATCAATATTTTTTTCGAGCACTAAATGAAGATATTTTGCAGTGTGACCGTCACATCTTAGCATTTTTTTTTTAACGAAGAAATTCCAGAAAAGTAAACAATAACTTGAAGCCTTCATTTATTTCCATGTTTTCAGATCTATAGAAATGATTGAATTTGTAGGTGAGGTTAAAGATCTTGTCTTAACCCAATCTTTTCGTATTTGGTCACAACACCGGGAAACACGAAAGGTAATGTGGTGGGATGAGAAAGAACAAATTAATGCGAAAAGAAAAAAAAAAACTCATGAAAAGAAATGGTCCAATGATACCTTCCTAAAAAAAGTTCCAACCATACCTTTGAAGAAAAAAAACGAAAAGGGTCCAATGAAAGACACGACTGCAATTTAATCATCTAAATTCTTCATTATTTAGTGTACATAAATAAAACATGACATCAATCACTTTCAAAACCCATACGCTCCTTTGTGAACCAGAAGAAAAAAATTTCTTCTAGAGCGTAGTTTGAAGTCTAAGCCACAGGTGGGACTACTTGAAAGGTACAAGGACAGGGCCGACATAGCCTAAATGTTGTTTACCGCATTTACAAGGTTCTTGTAGTTTTAATTTGATCAATTTTATTTTTGTAATTTGAATTCCAAGCAATTCAAGGACAACTCTCTCTCTCTCAACATACATTAAGACTGAAAAGTCACACTATTTTTTATTTAAGATTTGAGGTAATGGACTTCGAGACTTGAAAACATAAGAAAAGCTACATGAGGGGCTGTTGGGGTGGTTATAGGAGTAGTTGGGGAGGGGCTGCACGAATGGACCAAAATTTCCCTCTATGTGAACATAAATTAGAATAATTTAACAGAAATTGGGGATTGTCCTTAAATTACTTGGAATTCAAAACTTCAAGGACAAAATTTATCAACGGGACCTTGATCGTAAAAATGATAAACTATAAACCCATTTGATAACTATTTCAATTTTAGTTTTTAGTTTTCATTTTTTGTGCTATAATATAGAGGAAAAAGACGGAGAATGGAAGTGAGAATGAGAGTGGAGATGAGAGAGGGAAGATGAGAGGAGATGATGGGAGGGAGGAGTAACCAAAGTGAAAACAAAAACAAAAAACTGAAATCTATTTCAAATTGTTTTCACTTTTGTTACTCATTCCTCTCATCCTCCTCTCTCATCCTCTCTCTCAATCTCATCCTCACTCTCATTTTCCTCTAAACTCTAGCACAAAAAATGAAAACTAAAAACTAAAATTGAAATGATTATCAAACGAGCCTTACATAAACCAAAAATTATTTTTTACAATAAAGATTAATTATCTCACAATTCAAACTCAATATATTTTAAAATATAAAACATTGTCCCACATTCAACATGGCTTGATGAACTGAGCCACATTGGACTCAAATGGTTGAGCTCATCGGCCGAGCTTGGTTTATAAACATTGTCCCAAGCCCTACTCGATAAAAAAAATGGGGTCAAACTATATTAGGTTTTGGCTCATTGGGTTGGACTAACCTTCTTTAACTCGTGAGCCTCCGCCTGCAGGCCAATTGATAATCCCTTCTTATCATAAACTTACAAGAATTTTATAGTGAGGGCATTATCTAAGATCCTTAGATGAGATCATATCTTTTAATCGTTGGATCAAATTAATTAGCTGTTAGATCGAATTAGTTAAGTTGATTCAACAGTTAAGAGATAAGACCTCTGTGGGGGTCCTTTTGTTCCAGCAGCCTAACGAATGGGCTTGGGCTGCTGGGAGAAGAAAGCGAACAAAAGAACCTCTCTAAAGCCTGAGTTCAAGAACCAGACTCCCGAAAGAATTTTTAAAAGACTTGCTGAAGCCTTAGAAAAATACGTTCGGGTTCTTTTCACCAACACCCAAAGGAACGCATGAAATTTGTTAATGACTTGGCATGAGGAGCATGTGGCATGGGAGCTGAACTTTCACATGTTTAGCAATTTGAGAGAGAGAGAGAGAGAGAGAGAGAGAGAGAGAGAGATCAAAACATGAATTTCTTGGAGAGAAACAGGTTTTAGAGTGGGAGAGGGGAGAATTAGGATGGCTTCTATCTTAGAACAGAGAGAAACGTTGGGAGTAGAAGATGGGAAAAATTCCAGTTCGCTTGACAAAGCTTGGTCTTGCTCTGGAATGGTGTGTGTTGCTGGGTAGAGGAAGCTTTCTTTTATAGGCATTTGGAACCCTAATTTCGTTGATCCTCCATTCCCACTTTTCCTTTCCCTTTTTCCAATTGCTCCCTTTCCCTTTCCCTTTTTCCAATTGCTCCATTTCTTGTGAAAAATCTTTGACAAGAGTGCCTGAATCAATGGCTTCTTAAGGTTCCAAGGTTTTGTGCGGCTGAGCCTCTCCATGGGGGTGAGGCGCCACCTTCTTTCTCCCTTGGTTTTCAAATCAAAGCTTGCAGAGGAAAAAGGAGAACAGAGGAAGTTGTTTGTCCACTGGGTATTTCTCCTACATTCATGGATTTCCTATGGTCCTTGCTGTGATTCTTTGTTGACCACATGGGAGCTCTGATATGGGTGGAGCTCGATGCTGAATTTTTTAGGAGACGCTGGGCTGGGCTTCGTATATAGCTTTGAGGTTATTGGTGTTTTCTCTTCCAGCGGCCCGCACGCTTTCGTCCATCTGCTGGAAGTGGCTTATTCGTTTTTGGGCATTCTAATTATCATGGATTTTCCTAAATGCTACAGCAGCCTATAGGATGTTCTCCTAAGGCATTGGACCCCATTCTTCTCTCTCTCTCATGCTAACCCATGTATTTGGGCCCGAGGAATGGGCCTGAGTTTTAGTGCTCCCAAGTGGCCTAAACTTCCATTCCTCAGTCCCTCAATGGGCCCTGTGAGTGCTCGTACCCATCCATGCCACAACCTTCTCAGCAAGCCCCGGGTGATTACGTGGCTTGGGCCCACTTGAGCTTGTAGCATGGCGTGATGGCATCGCATGTTTATTCGTTGTGCTTGTGCTTGAGTTTAATTGTGCTATAATAAGCCGAGCTTGAATTAAATAACACCGGATAGATTCATGAGCGTGAACTTATATAGCCGTTGCGTTTTTGGCATGCTTGCTTGGCGTGATGTGTGACCCGTGGCTCGCGTAGGTGTCCTACAATTCCCTATTATGCCCCGGTCGAGTTTCTTTTGTAATTAATTATTTGCACCGGGCTGACAATAAGCTTGGGCCTAACCCCCTGGATTTTTGGGCCTCAACATTAGCCCCCTTGATTATTGGGGCCATGAGCGGATCTTGAGATGGGCCTAATAATCAAACCCAGCCCAAAAGTCAAATCGATGTCAGACGATATGACCTTCTTGTTTCCCGCGTGAGTGTGCTGTTGTCATGATGGTCTTCCAGCAGCCTTTTACGTTTCCCAGGTACGCTTCGTTTAAGTCTGTTTTATTCCACCCGCCTTTTACTTCTTCTTCTTCCTTTCCCCTTTTCGTCTTCGGTTTCTCCTCTCCGTGCGTGCGCATCCCAACTTTTCACTCTCATTTCTGGATTTTGCTGGTTCTTCCTCAAACCCAGGCTTGGAGACTTTCTGGGA